TTGCTTTAAATTGTTTGCTGTCTTCAAATAAATTTAGAGGAATAAAAAAAGATACATATCCACATATTAATCATTTATGGTTCTTCCATTTTTTCCTGTAGATATGAGTTTATGTCTGGTATCATTTGCCTTCCACCTGGAGAACTTTATAAGCATTTCTGTAATGTAGGTCTGGCAAACTATTCTCTTAGTTTTTGTTTATTGAAAATGTTCTTATTCCACTTTTAATTTTGAAGGATATTTTTGCTGGATATAGAATTCTGGGTTGATAGTTGTTTTGTTTGTTTGTTTCTTTTCTTTCACCACTTTTTGTTCCTCGAACAGTCCAAGCCCATTTCCACTTCTGGCTCTCTGCGCTTGCTGTTTACTCTCCCTGGACAGCTCTTTAACCAGTTCTTCACATCACAGCCTAATTCTCATCCCTCTGGTTTCATTTCACTCTTCTCAGAGAACGCTGTTGACTATACAATCCAAAATCATCCTTCTTCCGTGTTTCTTTCTTGTTATCCTGTTTACATCCTGGGTAGCACTTTCACAATATTTAATTATGTTTTTATTCATTTGCTTGTTTCTTGTCTTTCTACCTGACTAGCTCCATAAAAAACGATTTATTCTGTCTGTTTTATTCTCTCCTACAATCTTGGCATTCAGCAAAATACCAGGCACCATAATAAAGGCATAATGATGTTTCTCTAATGTAGAATGAATACACCTGAAGTTGCAGGGACTTCTAAAGTCTAGCTTTGCTAGACTTGAAAAGACATATTGAGTAGTCGTATACCACTAAACTCTCCAGGACCATCTGTTTTACACACTGTGCTAGGGAATATAAATACAAAAGTGATGCATCTTCAAGAAGCTTTTTCCAGATTCTCTGTTAGAAAAAATCTCCTCCTCTAGTTCCCAGAACATTTCACTTCATCCTGACCATGGTACTTTTTATGATCTACCTTGCACGGTTGCTGTTTGTATACATATCTTCTCTCCAACTGGACTGGCAGCTCCTTGCTGGCAGGGACTAGATTTCCTAGCACTTATTGGCAATCCTGCAGAAATAACCTTTAGGTCTGCAAAGGCTTTAGGATACTCTTAATATGGTAATGCACTGAAAATGAATTGAATAAGAAAGTTAGCATTTTTGTTTAATGAGATTCTCTAGTTCTCGGAGGAAAAAGGAGCTGTATAATTCCAAACTAATTAGGATTTCAGCTGAGCATTAATAAAGCCTTAAGTTCCCACCAAGGACACTGTGTCATGTGTGGAGGAGGACTCCTCTGCCCCTTCTCTGCCTTTGTTCTTGTTTATATGCACTGCCTTTCTGGTTTATGCTCCCTGTAGTTTGCATTGCAATAAAATGCCAAATATTTCCTGCCCACACCTCTGTTTGACTGCAGAGCATGAGAACTGTAATGGAAAGCAACAGATCAGAATATTTTTTAGATTTGTTGATGATCTTAAAAATGCCCATTTTTAAACATAAATATTTATGCCTGTTGCCATCTGAACCTCCATTTGTTATGAGGAGAGCTTTGATTAGTCTGTAGTCTGAAGAAGGCCCATATAACTACTAGTTACCATTTATTATGACAAGATTGATGGAGAACTCTGGAGGGAGGAAGGCCTGAAGCTGATTTTCATATTCTGATTCCATGCATAAAAGAGGAGAACAGATCAGCCCTGGATAAGCATTCAGACAACCCACATGCTGGTTGTGATAACTTATAGCCTCTGGGTTTGGGGACTCCAGTAATCTTTCTGAACCATGCACACCTGTGAAACAGAAAGGCCGTGTAAGCACAGCTCTTCTTTATGGAATAGCATCTTTCTGAAAAAGACCCAGTATTGTTCTGACAAATTCAAGTCACCAAAAAGAGTGTGAGTCTATGGGGCAGTACATTTTAAGGTGTGTGTGTATGTTGGGGGTTGGGTTACATAAAAGTATGAAACTTTTTGTATATTCCCAGGCCCCATTTAAAGTTTACAGAATCAGAATCTCCAGAAGCTGTCCTGGGAATCTGCATTTTAGCATGATCACTGGAGGATGCATCCACACTCGGAAGTTTGGGAGTCATTGCTTGAGGGAAAATTGTCTATTTCATCTCTGAACTGTCAGTTTGTGCCTGGAAAGTTTGGAGCCCCTTAGATCACTTCCCAAGAAGATCTGCCGTTTTACTGTTTTTTTTTCCATAACTGAATTGACTTTTACTGGAACAATTAGGTAAGTCAGTGTGCAGTTACGTGATTGAAACTAAAAGAAAAACACCAAGTTAGTCCAACCCAGCTTGTCACATGACAGGTCAAATAGGTTTCTCTGAAGCATGCATTGAGCCATAAAAATTCGAAAGTCTCCAGGAAGTTCTGCTTTTTTCACATTATCGACATGAGAGCAATTCTGATGACATTGCAACATTCAGTAAGCAGGACTCATTGGATGTGATCAGAAAGAAACCTTGTTCTTGCCCTCCTCTGCCCTTTCAAACTGGCTCCGTGAGGTTCATTCTTTCCTACTCCCTTGGATAAAAACTAGAGTAAGTTTCATGAATTTTTACTCACTTTTAAGCAGTAAAAAGTTCTTGAATCTCATTCCTAGGTACATAAAATTTCTATGTCATTAATTGAAATAGCCAGGGTAGAAAAATAATTTTAAAATATCTCCAGACTTTATTAAAAGCTAGCTTTTCCCTTCCTCAGCTCAGTTCTGCCTATTTGCTGTGGAAGAAGAGAGTGTGGTAGGCTCCTCTCTTTTTCTCTTCCCAGGGCTTTTGCTTTTTTTCCTTTCTCACAGCAGGTTGCCTCAGGTTCCTCCAGGGCTGAGGGATGCAGGGCATCAGGTTAGAAACGCAAGAGAGATAAAAGTTTTCTGGATAGATACATGTACAGAGCTGGCATAGATGCTGCCTGACTTGGCAGGGGTTGCAAAGTGACTCTTCTTCTCATGGGGTGATTTCACGGCTTTTTGAGAAACTCAGCATTACTTGATATGGGCTAAGTATCTCCTCTGGGGTCACTCTAAGCCCCTAGAGATCCAGCTGACCACTTCTAGCATCTTTCTGCTGAGGTCTCATTGCCCCCAACTCCAGTATCTAAGACATCACCAAACCAGCTCCTCTTATACATGGTGCACACACGGTCTGTGGGAAACGTTCACATGTCTTTTGCTGTGACAAGCTCTGAGAATACAGGCCGTGCCCAATCCTGCCACCTCTCTTACTTTGCCGTCAGAGTAGCTAACCAGCCACAGTCTCTAGTCCTTTGGATCTTGCAGGTGGTGTAGAGTCCAGGACCCTCCTTCCCAAGTACAAGAAGGCACTCCCTGAGCTGTCTAGGTAGTTCCATTGAATCCTTTCCCATAGGTCTGAAGTGAACGAGAAAGACTCCCCCTCGGACATAGAGGAGGGGAAGTGGAACTCACAGTACAATATAGTTCTCTTTAAGAAATTCTCTACCTAGTTCTTTCTTTCTTCTCCAATCTCTTTTTCGACTGGTGGTGAGTGGCAGCTCAGGGTTGGAAATTGGTTCTCAACGATTACCTTTGGGTGTCCTGACCTGGGGCTCTCATAGCTCACTTGAGCAATGTGGGTGTAGTTAGCATGTAGTTAGCATCTACATCTTAGGGCTTCATCTCAGACGTTGGGACATAAAGGGTTCCAATTAACATCTCTTTGAAATCATAATAATACCTAATTTATGTTAATCACTTGTTATGTACCAGACACTCTTTCATAAATGCTTTATTTCACTCAGTCCTCCCCACAATACTATAATACTAAATAACAGAGAAGTCCAGAGAAGTCAAATAATTTGTATAAGGTCACCCACGTAGCAGGTTCCAACACTGTGCATTATTTTCTTTTTAGGAAAATAAGAATGATTTTGTCTCTTAGAAAGAAGATACCATGCATTCTTGATGAAAAAAAAAATGCTACAATTGTTTAATAGCCTGGCTTTTACAATGGTAAGACAGAATGTTAAAGCAGAATTAGTACCAACAACTCTCACTTTCTAAGCATTTTAATATATCTTATTCTCTCACGTCTTACAACATTTGTGCTGTGGATGGCCTGGTCTTCATCTTGTAGATGAGGAAACTGAGGCCAGAAAGAAATTACGTGCCTTCTGCTAGATCACACAACCACGAATAATTGGAGCCAGGATTTAAATCCAAAATTTCAGATGCGTTTACTTTTCTCTCTCTCTGATGGGACATACTAGCAGGAGGAATGTGCTCCATTGTGGGTCTCTGAGCTGTGGCAAATGTTTCAAGTTGTTTGCTTAAAGCTGCTTTCTAACATGTTTGACTCCAGATGAGTCAATAGTACAAAGGAGTCAAGGTTTTTACTAAACTCCTTGAAAGCAAAGAGCATTTTATTCATCTTGGAATCTCTAGTGCCTGGTCCAAAGTTGATACTTTTTAATAAGTGAGTTAAATGAATAAACAAATGAATGAACAGCTTTCTTTTAAACTCTCTGGTGGAAAGTAAGCTTTCTTGTGAATTAGATGAATATGTTATCCTTCTCCTGGGTATTTACATTTTATAAGATGATCCTGGAAGAAGAAGCCAGTGAATGATGTCTGCAGTTGAATTTCTGATTCTGCCGTTGGAATAGAGGTGGAAGAGGAATTGACACAGAGTTTTTCTCTGAAGTCTCCAGTTTCGTTGCAGAGATGACAGCTTGCTATGTCTATATGCCTTAAGGAAAAAGTAGAATCCTTCTTTGTTTGGGTTACAAAATGACCAGAAACATTTTACCTCAGAGAAGTATGTTCTAATGATTTCAGTTACCCAGAAATGGAGCAGGTTGCTTCTAACATATTCACAGTCATACTTCTGCTAAGGGACCTTGTGGCTGGGCTCTGGAAGAAAGGATTGAAGTGTCACTGGTGGGGTGGACCAAATGGCCTCTAAGATCCTCCATCTCTGAACTTTTGGAGATTTTAGGATTCATTCAGTTGGTTGATGACGAGAATGCAGCTAACCAGGTCTGTCTATTGTCCACAGGTCTGAGGCGCAATTACAGATGTACCATCTGCAGTGTCTCTCTAAACTCAATAGAACAGTATCATGCCCACCTGAAAGGATCGAAACACCAGACCAAGTAGGTATTTTCATACTTTCATTCTTTAGTCCTCTGTATGTAATTTAGCTTGATGAATAAAGGCTAAAAAAAGGCTGAATAAATTTTACTTATTTCAAAATAAGTAGATGGAAACTACATCTCTTTATCTCCAAAATTTCCTTGATATTTACACTGCCTAAGCCTCCAGAATCTGTCTAGCATTACTTGAAGAATGGCTTCCTCTTTTCTTGGCACAAGTAATGACAGGTATTTTGGGTTTATTTTTTTCATTTTTTAAATTTAATCAATGACAGTTCAATGAATTTTTGCGAAATTCAGGAAACTTTTAGATCTACACTAAGTGTTTTTAAATAAACAGTGTTATCTCATTTGGAGGATGTGTCAGACTTCGGTGTTGTGAAGTCAAATTCTATGAATGTGTTCTACCACTTTCCATTTCTAGATGAATATTGTTGATTAGTACAGAAACCTAACAAATTCCCTGGTATATTAAGTCATTCACATACATAGCTATTTCCAATTTTTTTTAAGTGGCATGAATCATGTAAATAACTAATTCAGGTAGTACCTCCAGCTTCAGAAAAATATCTATCTTTCTATCTGTACGTAAAAGACTTCATGTGGCAAACTCTCTGCTAGGCATTTTCACATCTATTATCTCACTTATTCTCCTTAACTACCTTGAGATAAATATCATTGACCCATCATTGGATATGAGAAAACTGAGGCTAAGAGAGACTAAGTAACTTCCCAACGTTACCTTCCCCACAAATGGCAGAGCCAGTACTGAACCTCGTGGTGTCTAACTCATGCTCCTATGTATTCCATCTCTCTCAGTTCCCACAGGCAGGCTTGGAATGGAGGAGTGCCGAGAGTACTATGCTGAATTTTGAAAAAGAGGGCATCACTGCCCTGGTGTGCGTGGTTTAATAAATATGCGTGACTTCCGAAGGATACGTCTCCTACGGTGCTGCCTTCTTTCCAATAAACAGGACATAGTTCCTTTCTACCTCCACAGCTCGAGCTCGGTCTCCCAAAGAGTGAAACGAGAGAGCTATGAGGAAAATCATTGTAACAGCTTTGTCTCAAATGCCCGTTCCATCTGCCTTTATACCCAATAGGGACATCGTGTGCGTGTGTGTGTGCGTGCGTGTGTGTGATTGTTCCATAATTTTCTCATAGTATCCCTGTCAGGTTTGTTATCAGCTTTATGCTGGCCTCGCTGGACAAATTGAGAGACCTTCCCTCTATTTCTAATCCTCAATGAGTTTGTGGTAAACTGCTGTTATTTCTTACCATGTTAGGAAAAATTCATTGGTGAAGTCATCTGGGGGTTATACTGTGGGAATTTTTTTTTTTAGAAATGTAATTTCTTTAATAGAGCACTCTTCATATTTTCTATTTCTTCTTGTATCAGCTTTAATAAATTTTCTTTGATCATTTTGTTAGAAGCTTATCAATCTTTATTTGTCTTTTTGATGAAAGAATGTTGGGGCTTGTCGATTTTTCTCTATGTACAGTTTTTTTCTGCCATTTAAAAAATTATTTCCTTTTTTCTACTTCCTTTGGACTTAATTTGTATTTCCTCTCTAGCTTCTTAATATGAAAGTACAGTTTATTAATTTTTCAGTGTTTCTTTTTTTCTAATATATGCATTTAAGGCTCTCAATATGCCTCAATAGATTGTTTTAGCTGCATTCTGCAAATTATTTTGTGTATTCCAGAAGTTTTAATATGTAGTATTTTCATTATTATTTATTTCAACATATTTTCTATTTTTTACTGTGATTTCTTCTTTTACTCATGGTTATTGGGAAGTGTTTTGCTTAAAATCCCATATTTGGGGCATTTTTCTAGCTATAATTTTGTGATTAATTTGTACTTGGGAGTCCACGGTGGCCAGAAGAACCATAAGAAACAGAGGTAGTTAAAAACCTCCAACTATAAATATGGATTTGCCTATGTGTCCTCTTAATTCTATCTTTTTTTTCTTTGCTTTATATATTTAAAGATATATTATTAGATGCTTACAAATTTAGGATTTTTAATGTATTCCTATTGAATTGGCCCTTTTTATCACCTTTTGTTATCATGAAATGTCCTTCTTTGTTGCCAGTAATACTTCCTTAAAGTATACCAACATCAGCTACACCAACTCTTCAAAGCTTTCAGAAGCTTTTCCTTTAAATTTTATCCAGCTTTTATTTTGTTCTCAGATGCAAGGTTGGTGCGATACCAGTCACTCCATCAGAGCTGGAAATGGAAGTCAGCCAAATAGTTCTTAACTGGTCTAATCTCATCAATGAAACAACATAAGTATTAAGGTGTCAGTAATTTTCAAGGTCTTATATTTGTATTTTTAGCAATAATTTTTAGAGAAGTGTTGAGATGACTAAAGATTATTAAATTATGTAGTGGGAAGAGCACTGAATTTTGAGTAGGGAGATTTTATTTCTAGTGCAACTTTGCCACTGAGTGACCTTGGGCACTGACAAATCTTTAAGTCTCAGGTCTATCATAGATAAGTGATTACTAATGACAGGAGTATGATAAATGTTCATCCACTTTCCGTATCTCACTCATGATCCTGATACTCTTTCCTACTGATCCTGAATTCAGTCTTAAAATTCATCTTAAAACAGGTTCCCAGGCAGCCTTTACATTTTTATTGGAGCTAACAGTGTCCCCCCAAATTATGTCCTGTCAGAACCTGAGAATATGACGTTAGTTGTAGATAGGGTCTTTGCAGATGTAAACAGTTAAGAATATCAACATGAAATCATTCTGGATTTAGGACAGGCCCTATATCCAATGCCTGGTGTCATTAGGAGACAAAGGAAAGGGAGACTTGGACACACAGCAAGGGGGCCATGTGAAGACAGAGGAGGAGACTGGGGTTATGTTTCCACAAGTGCAGGAACACCAGGAGCCAGCAGGGTCTGGAAGAGACAAGGAAGGAGTCTCCTCTCCAGCTTTTGAAGAAATGTATTCTACTGACATCTTGATTTCAGATTTTTCTCCTCTAGATCTATGAGAGAATAAATTTCTGTTGTTTTAAGCCACCCAGTTTGTGGTACTTTTTTTAAGGCAGCCCTAGGAAATTAATACAGTGTGAAGCCTACTTTGTTCCACAAGTATCCCTTCACTCACATTTTCCTGGGCAACCGCTTACTCTGCCTATCCCAATAATGACAATGATGATGATGACGAAGATGGTGATGATGGCGATGATGCCACCACTGACAACAGGAGTGGAACATCTGTGTGACTGGAGTACAGCAACAAATTAAAATGCTTTGAAGGTGTTATTATATATAATATGTGCATCCCTGAAATTGACCAGATGTTCACATCTCCTTTTTATAGGTTAGAAGATTGAGTCTCAGAGAAGTTAAATGACTTGTTCAAGGCCCCCAAAATGATTGGTTGGCAGAGCCAAGAGCAGAAGTCAGGTTATTGGTCATCATTACTATTACTGTTATAATAGTACTTAAATAATGCTATCATCATCGTATTGCTCTTTACTAGGAGTAAAGAGTATTTTTCTTTTTTGGGCAAATGTCATAAACATCAAAATGGCAGTCAAATTTTGCTCCATCATTAAATAGCAAAAAAAAATATTAAGTATCTAATGAGATTAAAGGTTTAGAAATGCAAATGATCACACTGGCATATAAAGCAATTGCCCATTAGTATATTTTTCAGGGTTTCCAGAGGATCTAGTCTGTCAATTAGTACAAATGATTAAAATGAAATTTAAAGGCACATGAGCACAAACCATAGACTAATGAACAATTCCCACCTAATGTACTTAAATTTGAGTTCAGGGAACACTTCAAGCCTCAGGACATTATATTACCCAGAAATAAAGGATATAAAAGTTGTCATTACTTACTTTGATACTTCACTTGGTTGAAAATGAGACACAAGTGTCTAAGAGAATAAATCAGACTGACCAAATGTTAGTGGTAATTTCTAAATTTGTTTCTTCCTTTGAGAAGAAGCCTTAGATGGTAATATCCATTGCTTTTTCTGCAGTTTTTCCCAATTATTATGAACCCTCCAGACAAAGCCTGCACACTATTCATTTCCCCATTATAGTCATTTATTTGTGAAGTGGCTGAATGGTTGTTCAGGCTAATTTTCAGAACTGGGATATATTTGCTTTAAATACCTTGGAATTCAGTTCCTACATTCAGGATAGTAGTTATCTGAGGAGTGAACAATAATAAATAAGATAGTTTTGCAAGATATGCCAAGCATCAAGAACCTTCTGTACTTAAATAAATGTAGCTTAAAAACTCAAGGTGTTCTCTTTGGAAACAAGAAAATAAACAACAAATCAATGCATGGACTTCTTCAAGATATAAAAAAATATAGATGTTCTTTGTGGAATTTTCAATGTGGTTCACTGGCACTTACTAAGAATTTCAATAACCAAAAGGATTGGGACTTTGGTTTTGTACTATTTTTTTTCATGAGAAAGTTTTTCTTTTCTGAAATTTCTAAACTATATATCATCAGTAAAGTCCTGAGATGAGCAGAGAATAAGACAGTATTGAAAATAGAGCTGTCCTTTCCCAAAGAGTGCCAAGTTGTTTCTCTTCAGCTGATCATCATTTGTAAGCTGCTTAGAAAGGCTTGGAGTAAAGAGCCAAATCTAGAACCCAAGGCTACTGCTTTGCTTGTCCCATTTTATGATTCTGGTTGTGAAAAATAGCTCTTCTAGAAAATAGGGCTTATGGAGTGTTACCAAGTCTTTCTAGCCAAGGGGAATCCCAGACACTGTAAATAGGGTGCCTGCTGCAGCCCAGAGATGAGGATATGGCAGGGCCTGAGGGTCAAAGAGAGTTCTCTTATTAGCCCTGTTTTTTATAGAACATTCACGTCCACTATTGTCAAGAGCTCTCCCTTCTCTGAGGAAGGCCTTTGATGAAACTGAGTCCAATTTCTCAAATGGAAGAGACAGAAGCTTGTAGAAAGAATTCCAGAGAAGCCATAAAAAACTCGTCTATCTA